ATGGCCGCGGGCCACGTGTCAGGGGCGGAAAAATGGCCGTACCCCGAGGCAGAGTTCGCACATCAAGGTAAATTTTTGTGGCCGGAGCTGGTCATAACCCGAAAAGTTCGTTAGTAGAGGCGTTCGTATCCCAAGGTACCACTGTACATCTCTCCTTTTGCTCAGGTCTCCTAGCAGCTTGCAAAAGGATGCAGCTACTTTAAAAAAACAAACAAACCTAGGGAGTTCTGGGAGTTGAAGTCCTCACACGCGGGCTGGGGAATTCTGGGAGTTGAAGTCCACCCATCTTAAAGTGGCCAAGTTTGAGAAACACTGTTTTGGACCCATGTTCCTCCCGGCTGGTCAAGCCTCCTTGATGGTGACACGTGGCTGGATCTACCTCTGCATCCAACACGGACAATTTTCATCCTGTCTCCAATCTTCCCTCTTTATGGAAGGTTGTTAAAAAGGCAGACGGATTGCAGCTTCCGAGCACTCTGGAAGAAACCCTTCCGGGGTTCCAGCCGCACGAACAAGACCACTAACTTGGTTTTTAAAACTCACAAGCGGGGCTCGCTGTACGTTGACCTCCTTTGTAAAGAGACACTTCAAATGACCACGGATATTTTTTTTAATGGGGGGGGGAACAGGATTGTATCGGCTGCTCCCTGCCCAAACCTCAAAAGACAGCTAAATCAATCAATTCATCAATCAATGGGAAGGAAGCCAATAAAACTCTGCCCAGACAAGGAAGGAGTTGGCCAGGCCACCCTTCTGTCTTCACTGGAGGATGAATTTGGCATAGCAATTTGGAGAATCCCGGGGGAGAAACTTGCGGGAAAGAACCATCCACTGCTGCAAAGCCAGCCTCGGAACTTTTAACGATTCCACAAAAACATTGATTTTAGTGCACCAGGATCAATTCTTCCTCCTACTAAATCCTTCAACACACATAAGAGATCTGGGAACGTTAAGGGCTCCTTTCCATATTCGGAATTAAAAAAAGATGGGCTTTGGGGAGCCCAAGGATGCAGAGTGACCTCCAGAGGGGGAATGGCAAGGACATCACCCAGTTTTTTCGGGTGGGAATGCTGTGGGGGGTGGACTTTTATAAAAGAAAAAGGAGTAAGCCTACAGGTAGTCATCGACTTACAGTAATTTGTTTAGCAACTGTTCAATGTTACAATGGCGCTTAAAAAAGTGACTTACAACCTGTCCTCGCACTTACAACCGTCGCAGCATCCTCCTGATCCAAATTCGGGTGCTTTGCAACCAGCATGTATTTATGATGGTTGCAAGCATCCTGGGGTCACATGATTGCCATTTGCGACCTTTCCAGCCGGCTTCCGACAAGCAAAATCAATGGGGAACCATGTGATTCACTTAATGACTGCTGCAAAAAATGTTGTAAAATCAGGTGTGGTCACATGACACCTCTCTTAATGACCGCACCACTTAATGATGAATTTTCCAGTCCCTATTGTGGTCGTAAGTCAAGGACTACCTATATTCTGCTTCAAATTCTAGAACTGAGGCTACTTGATTGCTCCCAAAGCTCTGTCTTATTTCAGAATGCAGGCTGCATAATAACAAATTTATTTTTCGAGTCAGCAGATTCCAAATCCTACGGTTGGAAGGGGGTCTTGGAGGTCATCTAGACCAACCCCGCCAGGGCAGCTGCCCAACCTCTAGAACAGTGTTTCTCAACCTTGACAACTTCAAGATGCGAGAACTAACTCCCAGAATTCCTTGCAAATACACTGAGGTCTGCACTGCCTCTCAAATTGGCGGTTTTCTTCCAAAAACCCCAATTTGCACACACTTGGGGGATCTTTTTGCCCAAGGCAAGCAGACTTTGGATGTTCAGAAGGATGTCCTTATCGGCAGATGAGGGCTTCCCAACCCAGAGATCTAATCTTGTGGCCCACCCAGGCTGGATGGCATTCGGGGCAGGCGTCAACATTTCTCCAGCAAGAGGAGATGGAGACCCATTGTTCCCTAGTCAAAGGTTCTTCCTGCAAGGTGCAATGGGGAGCATCAGACAAGCCCATCATCCCCACCCGCTATATTTGCTGATCATTTCCAGCACCTCCCTGCTACGTTAGACTATGGGAACTGTAGTCCAAATCACGAGGAGAACCTCAAGAAGGAGAAGGCTGTGTTAGAACAGAGACAGGTCCCTCCCAGGTGCCACAATGATGCCAGGCACACCACAGTGCCATCTTGCCAAGGACTTCATTGACACCGTTTATTGAGGCCACAATGTGTTTGCAAGGACTTCATTTGCCCACCGCCTTGTGGGTACCCACACACCCGCCACATTGCTTTGGTGACAAGGTCCCCGCAGACATCGCAGCCAGCAAAAGAAAGAAAACGTTGTTCATGGTCGCCAAACCCTGATGGTGCAAAAGAGGGGGGGAAGGGTTACCAGATGGAGGGTTGGAGTTCCTTTTCTTCATTTAGAAATGGGGGCTGGAACCCAGGGCCTTTACCACGTACGCATTTCCTTCGCCAGGCGGAAAAATGGCAAACAAATAATTTATATAAACAAAGGCCCCAAGAGAATCGTATGTCATGTCTGCATACCCAGTGCCTTATCTTTCTCCCCTGCTTCCTCCGTGGTCTCCGGGTGTGGGATTTCAGGCAGCACATGCCCAGAATCATTGCACACACCCAGAGGTCATGTAGTCCAACCCCTGCTTGGTGCAGGATCTGCTAAAGCTTACTGGACAGGGGACCATCCAGCCTCTGTTTTGAAGATCTCCAGCAAAGGAGAACTCACCACTTCAGGCAGCAGCCACTCGGTTCCCTGTTCAGATATTTCAAGATGACTGTCACAGGTCCTCTTTGTCTCCTTTTCTAAAACAAATACCTCCCCTTTTTTTTTAGCCATTCTTTCTAGACCTGGGTGTCGAGAACTCCAAAGATGGCATTCAGAGACCCTTAGCAAAATATGAGCTTAGCCTGGGAAACTGTGGAGTTTTTAATTTACTTTTACTTGTGTGTCACGTTTTATTCCGATGGTTTGGGGGTTTGGGTCGTTTTTACTTTTGTGCACCACCCGGGGTTGCTCCAGCACGGATAGTTATATAGCTCTTTTAAAATCAGTGCGTCAAAATTGAAACAAGAAAGGGTGAGGAAGAAACTCAAGATTGCCCCGCTTTGATTCTCTTTGGGGTCCGAGGGAAGGAAGGAGAAACACAACCAAGTTTTCCAGATTCTGTCATCAGAGCCAGGGCAGAGCGGAGGGGGACAATCCCTTTGCTGATCTTGCCAAAAAGGATCCACCTACCTCTTTTTTTCTCCGCTTGTTTTTGGGCACTTTGCCATCTTTGAGTTTCTTTGGCTTCTCTTTCTTCTTCTTCGGAAGAGCGCCCAGCTCCTTGTGGAAAAAGCCCTCCAGAGCATCCAACACCCCATCATCTTCTTCTGGACAGGACAGAGCAGAGAACCCTGGAGGGAAGGGAGTTAAAAAACCGCTGTGGATTTCTCTGGAGGGAGGGAACTGAGGCGAAAATCTGTTTAATTCAAGGGGTTGTACACTTTCCCACCTGGATTTCCACAGAAGGAAGGAAGCTCCAGGATTCACCAAAAAGCTCATTGCTCTAAACTGCTTGGCACGCCTCTGGGGTTGGACTAGATGCCCTCTCAGGTACCCCGCAGCTTTGTGAGGCTGGGACCAGGAATTAATTCCTTAAACCAATCCACGATTGGGAAACCCCAGCTATGTACTACAGGGAGTTTTTGTTAATGAACATAACAATAAAAGGATATTTTTGCAGAAGGCGGGAACTAAAGAAAAAGGGCCTTTCGGAGGAGGGTGCCAGACTGATACCACCTTTCTGACTTCAGGACCAGGTTTAACTCGGCCACCAACGGGTTCAAGCCGTGATCTCAAACGGGGTTTGAAACCAGCCAAACTTTCAATGGCGAGCAAAAATCAGCCAAGGCCCCAACCGGGCATCGCTGGAGGAGGCAGCATCAACTGGGCAGATGAGCTTCCCTGGGATCCAGGAGGGTGGCACGAGGTGCCCGAGAGAGCCTCCCCAGTCAGAGGCAGTCTACCTTAGCCAGGGAGACAGTAACCTTGGAGGAGACCCTGGCGACGGTTCCGGTCATGCTCCTCAGGGAGCTCTCCAAAGATGGCGAGTGCCCGGCTTGGGAGGGGGCTCCCCCTCTGGAGGCCCCCAGAGACTTTCCGGGGACAAACGAGCCCCCTCCCCCCGTGGAGCCTCCACGCCCGGAGGCAGTCTACCTCCGCCGGCGGGA